TACTGACGCCCGCGCTAAATTCAGCGGAAAAGTACACTGCSCATCCTCAGTTAATATTTTGAATTAACCAATCACGCGTTTTTAAGCCGTGTCCCCGATATAGTTATATACTATATACTTGGTTAGATCAGAATTTCTGCATATCGCTGTATATATATACTGCGGTTTGCATAAACTTTGACCATTCGTGCATAATACAAGTATGTCAAAAGTACAAAAGTATATCAAAAAATAATTATGGGATATGATCCCTGATATTGTTTTCGAGTTGTTTATCACTAGAGCTTTCTGGAAAAAATATCAGGGATGACATCCCATAATTTGAAATATATTTTTGATATACTTGTATATATATATATAGATGGTCAAAGTTTATGCAAACCGCAGTATATATAATATATAAATACACCAAATCGCTAAAACTTTGACACTTTAACGATATATATATACATATATGCGTATCCCCCTTTTTTCTATTGTCTTACCTGGATTTTCAAGGAAAGACAATAGGAAATAGGGGATACATGTATATGTACATATATCGCTAAAATGTCAAAGTTTTAGCGATTTGGTTTTTTAAAGCGATTTGCAAAAATTATGCAAAAGTCAATAAAAAAAGTAAACAGGGCCTCTCTTAATGTATATGAATGATTCCTGAAATAAAGCACTCGGCCCGACTTTTAAACTAAAAACAAAATACAAAAGCAAAATATAAAAGCAAAATATAAAAGCAAAATACTTTGAATCCTTTGAATGTCAACAAGCATAAGGACATAGGGAGCCCAATCTCTGGAAAGTGCAACTAGTATCCACGAGTTCGCCAAAGGGCAGTTTGATTTGTTCTCTGTGTCTTTTCTTTCAATTTTGAATTCTTCTTTTTGCAGGCTGTTGTTCTCAAAGGTATTATTAAATAATAGCTTTCATTTATTACCAAAATATCAATTTTGGCAGTCTTTCACTGAGAATGTACTTGATTTCATATGATGAAATTTTTCTATGACACTAGGCAATATTCACAGAAAGAACTAAGATTTGGTTTTATGAAAGTCAGCGGCAATATAGTGTTGAATATATAGAGTGTTCTTAACAGGTTCTTATTTATAAGCCAAAAAATAGTTGTTCCTGATATGGTGTTTTTAATTTCATTTTTTTATGAAGTAAGTTATATTGTGATCCTGGAAGGTCTTAAGCATTTTAAAAATTCCCAATGACCCCTTAGCAGATATACTTTGTACATGCATGTTTGTTAAAGCTTTATACTTTTATCATAAGAACCTGTCTAATTTGTCAGGCTACAGTAGAGTACTAGTGGTTAATGCATACAGTTGATTCAAAAAGAATTGTCTTTGAACGGCTCAAGCCTACATGTACCTGACTGGGCTGAAAGGGAATATGGCTAAACATCACAGAATAGGTTAAGTAATGCTCCTAATAAGAACGATAGCGCTTTCTATTGTTCTGCGGCATATCGCTAGCCCCACATCAGAATTTTGAGATTTTTTACTGGGGATGTATCAACCTATGGAGAGATGTTTGTGAAAAAATATGAACTAAAAGTCGCTTCTTAAGACGTTTACTTTTGAGTTTGAGGTTTTCAACCAATCACAACACCCAAAAACAATAGAAAGAAAAAGCCTCAAATTTGTCATTTTCCCCACATAGAATTTCTGTCGTATTGAAGCACAGAAGATTTATCACTAAAAGGGAGTTTGTCAGTAGTTAAATATCACAAAAAATATACTTCTCCATTTTTCGTGTTTTGACCAATAAGAAGATTGGTTTAAACAATACTACAATTATCAATTATCAATTATCAATTATCAAAAAAACTAAATTAGAAAATATGTTTCAGTGCCCAATTTCGATATTAAGGATGTTCACAGGCATCATTCATGACCAGCCTTTCTACACATGAATTTAGAGTGTGAATCCTGATCCTGATGACGTTTCGATAGGCAAAGTATCAAGAAAATCCATTTTTCATTTCTTTTAAGCCAAATATCTCAGAAACCAATTCTGTGACCCCTAATACTTACAATCTGCATACTTTTAATTCAGAAATGTTCAAGGAAGTCATTTATTTGATGACCATGAATTTGATGTTTTTGATGTTTTTCCCCCGAAGCATCAAAAAAGTCATATTTGATGACCATGAATTTGTTTTCCCTGCATTTCTTTGGCTCAAATCAAATGGTAAATAAAATAAAAAACCAGCTAGAAAGCATAAAATTAGGAGGTTTTTGTTTCTACAGGCCTTCTGTGGAAGCTGTACATGTATATACTCAGAGATTCAACATTCGTTGCCAATGCAAGACTACCCAATTGGCCAACAATGTTTCTAATTTGTCTCTGATGTTCCTGTGTTAGACCTACACCAGCCACTGGCAGCTTTTTGGTACCAGCTTATCGATTCATAAGTCGTACATAGTTGCACGTTCAAAATGCTTTTTCTGCTGCAAATGATTAATTCCAGTTTTGATCTTCATGTGTTGCTGGAAGTATCACTTAACTTTTTAGTATGTTTCTTGTTATTTTACCACAACAATATTAGACACAGCTTGAAATAATATATCAAGTGTTTGTTYGTCAAGATATTTTTAGGTATTCCGACTTTCTGTGGAAAGGTATTTTGACTTTCTATTTGAGCTGTCAAATACCTGAACTCTCTGGAGCAAAATATTTGTTTAGCATCACAGAGGAATTTAGGGATATGTGAATTGCAGCACCTCCAATCGTTGAAGTAATGTAAAATTTAATTGTTTATCCATGGAGCTACATTCAGTATAAAAATGTATATGTATGTATAACATAAATTGAGAAATAAACTGGCTTTCATTTATGCCATGTGAACTGTACTCTGTCTCATTGTACACGGCCTGGCAATCCATATTACCTATTCTGCAACACCAGACTACAAAACATCATTTCAGATCAAACTGCAAGAGTCAATGATTATATTTTTTGCTTATTTTATCCCCCTTTTAAATATTTTAGAAAAAAGAGTTTATTTTATAATATTAGCGTTATGTTTCAGTGTTCTGACCAGGTATTTCTTTTAGGGGGTCAAAGGGCCCCCCGAYTCAAAGTTTATAGGGGCCAATTAGAAAACTAGATGGGCCATTTGCAAAATCTTTAAATAAAGAATAATTTTACATTAATGTTTTTTGCCAGTAACTCTGTTGCAAATCTACAACGATGTAAGACAGTTTTATTAGTAATGATAACACAATAAACTTTCCCTGGGCAGCCATACTTGAGCCTCTATTAAACAAGATCAGTTTCAGCGACTTAAATACAAGATGGCGGCTGTGTTCAATTCGTGCCGTTTCATGTGGACTTTCACCTTGTTCATTGACAATATAATGCGACTTTTATTATTTCAAAAGTACTCTAAATCTTTTGAAACTATCAGGAAGTATTTTTTGGATAATTCATGCGCCCTTGGGGGCGTATAGAGTTGAAATTTGTGCGCCTTTTTTGTTTTTTATGCGCGATTCCCGCAATGGAGCAGCCTGGTATGAACACTGATGTTTATTTCAGTTAGTGTTTATAATTACTAAACGTTCATTGTTTTTACAATAAAAAACTGATTGCATTTTATGGTACTGTTTAAGTCTGTTAAACAATAAAAGTTATTTGTAAATTTACATCAAAGTCCGCTGTATTAAAACTACTTTGAATATAAAAAATTGCATGGTTTAAGGTTTTGAACATCAAAATATACAGTATTAGCCTGCACTAACTCCAACTCCATTAACCTCAACCAAAGCTGCAGTCCACTCTGCTGCATTCTGATTGGATAAGCTACTACTAGGCTATTTCTTACTATCATTCACAATTTTTTGGAGTTGACTTGGGGGCAAACAAGTGGTTGACTGTGGGTCAACTACACTGTAGTGATTGTCAAATCATGTCAAAATAAGTCCACAAAGTATTCTTTCTAACTTTTCCTACGACATGAAACCAGAAAACAATATATACAGACAACCTCCAAAATCCAACAAGGCATTAAGATTAGAGATGTAATCAGGGAAGTGATGTCTATTGATAGCAATCAATAAGTTATAGCTCACTAGTAGCAAAAGGTGCTGACTTTGAAAGGCAAAACATTAAATTGTTGGTTGCATTGATATATTTGAGCGACTACTTGGAATTGACTAAAACAATTACAGGGCTGTCAACCCCCCGAGATATTCAGATCTTCAGAAATGATAGGGAAGGGACATGATGTCACAGCAGACAAGTATATAGTATTCATGATCGATGACGTCATTATAATGAATATGACATCACTTGCTTTGTAACATTTGATGTGATTGGTTTATTTCTGACCAATCAGATTATCGCTTATATTACAATATGGCCTGCTTGCAAAAACAGTGGTTTATGAGGAATGTTTTGATTTTGTTAGCGATGTAAAATAACACAAACAACACAAAATTATTGGAATTTTATGGTTGTGAAAGTTGAGTCTCACAAGAAATGGTCAGCTTCGGTGATCATCTGGGAGATTTGAGACTTTAATCTGGAGACCAGGAGATACGGTCCAAAATCTGGAGACTCCCAGTTTATCCGGGAGAGTTGACTGCCCTGCAATTAGTCCTCTCGCCCTCATGGCCTATGAGTCAATATTCGGGCTCGAGGACTATAATTGCTAAATAAACTACCACTTTAAATTCTATAGCCTGGCCCATAGATATATGCAGTCATAGACTGCCTATTTTTTCTAGTGTAGGTTTTATATAAGCTTACTCTACCCTTGAAACAATTTAAATATGTCTTAACCTTAGTATAAATTTTATCAAAATCTTTTACACACATACTTTTTAATATTCTAATACACATGGATTTTTAAAATTAATGTATGCTTGCTAATGAAACGCAGGAATCCGATCAGGCCCTCACTGAATAGAGATAGGAGCTTAGTACTAACTACTACACTGTAAGTCAATCTAGTAAGTAATATAAGAAAATAAATATGCTAAGAATCAAACACATACCGCTCCAATTCTTTGCCATCTTAAACATGTTAGCAGCTCGAACATAAAGATCTGCCGCATCTTCAAGCTTAGAGGCGCTCCTAAAATGTATGGCATGAATATTTATCAAAATTAGGTTAATATTTTGAAAAAACACCGTTCACTTTTTTCTATGGTTGGTAGAAGACAAGGCACTCACCCAAATAATCCACCGAAAAATCCCTGGGAAGATTTAACCTTCTTTTCTGCCTCAAGTATAAGTGCTACCCCTTTATCTTCGTTAGACATGGTAGACATATGTGGGTTTATAGCTCTTTGTTTCCTGTGAATGACATCCAAGTTTATAAGAATTTTTCTCTCTTAAACACTATGCTTTACCAGCAGGAAGCAGCCATTTGTGGTGACGTCACTAACTTGAGTCAGACCACTGCGCCTCAGTCTTTACCTGCCAGCGGGTTTAGTTCATATTCAGTCTAACTGCTGCATACTGTAACTGTCTTCCTATCTAATAGATGGACAGTGTAATGGAACATCAGAAGCTCTGAACATTAATGTGGCTTCTAATCGACACAAAATTGAATTGGGAATTATTTTTGTCGCATCTAAGTGAAATATGGCCGAGGATGAAATCAGATTATATGAGGTTTCAGACCCTAGGAAATCATTTGCAGGTCATACGGTCTACAGAGTATCAAGAAAGGTACGAAATTCTAATTCACTGACTTATGTTACATGTAAAGCGTTTAACGACACCGGAATACATACGCACATTACTCATACATGATTCCTTTTTTAAAAATATTAAAGAAAAATTCGCAGCTTTGTGTGAAGTTCATATGTATTATTCCTATAGTTTACACGTGACGTCATAGACCAAGAAAATAACAACTTAAAATTAATTATGAATGCTATAAACTCGATTCTTTGATATATTTTAGAGAAATATGATATGAGTTAGTGTAAAAAATTTCAGATCGTTGCATCGTTTTGTTTCCGAGTTGTGCAAATCTTATTTTCTAATCGGTTATCCTCACCTTACTCTCATAAGGTGTCTGAAAAGTCAAAGAAATAAAGACATTTTTTTGCCAAATCAAACAATTTTAGTGTTGTACAAATTTATAAATTAGTTTAGTACATGTTTGAAGTGAATTTGATAATTTTTTTGTCATTAGATATTTTTTTAAAATTTTGACCGCCATATATATCCAGCGAGTTTTCGCCGAACATTTACACTAAAATATCTGTAACTTCGTTCGCTCATAGCTCGTTTTAGAATTATCTAATGCTCCATTTTTTTGCTCAGAGTTGTATTATAAGTATCTCTACACGGTCATAAGGATTGTTTTTTGATTGGCCCCTAAAAATACTTTAGCACCAGCAAATACATGTGGTTGCAAACGAAGAATTCACACAGGTGTTCAAGCACAGAGTTTGTGAAATCGATGATCGATAACAATCATTATCATTTAATTACTGGGATACCTGTGGCCACAGTCATAAAATGTCTTTGTTTTTTTTTCTGTCTTCACGACAAAATGGGAAAGTTGCACAATAGTACCCAGGGGTCTTCAGGAACCTAACCAAGAGACCTTTGCAGGCATCTGCTGTGGGGTTCCCGTCTATAGTCCAATCAATTATCATGTACCAGATGTCAATCAATGTCACTATGTTGTCAAGTGATTATGAGTGGGTGGAGCTAGCAGATCACGTGGCAGAGGTTTATGTCTACGCATGCTCTATTTTGTAGACTGCTGTAATTCAAGACAGCCAAACTAAAAATATAATTTATCAATTTCGTAAACAAGGATTTCAAGGCAAGAAGATACCGATGGTTTCGAAGCGATTGTTTCTAAGAATTTTCAATGAACTTCATGAGCAATAGCTTGTTTTGGTTTACTCTTCATGATTCATCTACTCGAGCAGCATTTTCTGCATGAACGAGCGAAGATCGAAAAGGAGAACAGGTTTCAAAGAATTTATACGATAAGCGATACTGCAAATTCATTCAGCATGACAATATAGATAATCTTATAAGCTACATTTATGTATTTATATTAACTGTTTTGGCTTCAAAGTCTACTCTCAAAGGAACACAAGGTACATAGCAATATTTATTTTAAGTTTCTATTTGGTCTAAGAAGCAAAATAGACAATTTGCTTAGCACATTCCAGGGTTTGATCTTTGCTGTTCGAAGCTTTATGATCTTCTCTAATTTTTCTTCAAAAAAATGTGGTGATCTTCATTTAAAAATATCTATATATTATAAAATTATAATATGTAAGGCAATGAGAGAGGTCTGGAGCAAATATTAGCCCGTATTTATGTTTTAAATGAAGCATTTTGATTTTAAAGCGAGCTATACAATGCCCAAGCAAATGTGCATGTTTATGCTCGAACAATGATGTTGAGACCATATCAGCACTGTCATCTGCTCATGATCTGGTACAGTAGAGTTTAGAGGGATTTTGAGGATTTTTTTGCAGAATTAAATGATAAACAACTTAATTATCAGTCGGATATGCATGATGCGGCTGTACATTTTTACTCATCACTTGTATTTTGGTTTGCCTATTAAGGCTTACCAAAATACTCTGTGACTCGTAAAAATACACAGCCATTTATCAAATGCTTAGCCAACTGATAACCTCTATTATATCAATTGATGACATTTAATCGATTAATATTGGAAATTAATTGCTTGTATATACCATTGATTGTGAACCATTGTAATCAAATAACATTGGTTTTTAATAAATTTCTTTTTACAGTGGGAGCGCTAAAGATTGACCACATTTAAATGGCATTTGCATACTTCTACGCACAGGCTCTGTATGTTAAACCAACACATTTTGATGGTTTATTTTACCAAATAAGGTGTGCAAACGCTGGTTTGGCAGTAAAAAGCTCATGCATAGAAGTATGTGAATACAATACATTTTTGCTCCACAGCAAATAATATGATGCTGTCCCAGCTAGCGTTAGGGGTCGTTTACATGATACCGGAATGGGTTTCATTCCAGAACGAGTTCATCCCGGTTGCCATATATTTCTTTGTATTTGTTTACATGATACCAGAGCAAAATTTCATTCCTGAACAAGTCACTGATCCGGAATGAGTCATCCCGGTTTTCATTCCGGAACGAAACGCTCATTCCGGAACGATTTCCATACCGGTATCATGTAAACGTGGAACGAACACTCATTCCGGAATGAAACCACTCTCTGGGGAGAATGAAAGGAATAACACATGCGTATCAAACATTTCAATGTGATCATAGCTTGAACTCGTTATGTGAATTTTTCTCATGTAAACGCTGTGTGAAATTTCATTGTCGTTCCGGAACAAACTCATTCCGGTATCATATGGAACGGCCACTTATTCCCCCTTCCAGGGATACTAGAAATGACTCTGAAAGTTGGCCATGTGCAAAAACAGTCCAAAACATTACCTGGTTATATTAGCTAAACATACTCCCTGAAAATTATTTTTTGGGTGCTTGAATTCTACTTGAATTTTACAGTGCGACTATCTCCAACCAAAGCCATGTACCTTGACAAATTTTTCACAAATTATCCAATAGTGTTTGAGTATTTAGACAATAGATTAGTGGCAAATTTTGAATTTGAATATTCTTCTGTTGTTCCTGTTGGTAAAACTAAATGATGAAGAAGAGCTTGTAATATATTATTTTCTTCGCAAATTAGTGATTTTTGTCACCAAAGATATAGAAAAATAGTAATGTACGACAGGAAAGCAAATTAGAGACCACCCTGGTGCAAATCCTGAGCAGGATCCTGTTTAGGATCCTAAAGGATCCTAACCAAGATCTTGTACAGGATGCTGTTTAGGATCATATTCAGGATCCTATAGGATCCTACAGCATCCTATAGGATCTTAAACAGGATCCTAAAGGATCTTGAACAGGATCCTGTAGGATCTTGAATAAGATCCTACAGGATCCTATAGGATCCTATAGGAATCCTGTAGGATCTTGAATAAGATCCTACAGGATCCTATAGGATCCTATAGGATCTTGAATAGGATCCTATAGGACATTGACCAGGATGCTTTAGGATCTTGGACAGGATCCTATAGGATTTTGGACAGGATTCTATAGAATTATATTCAAGATCCTACAGGATCCTGTAGGATATTGAGCAGGATCCTACAAAAAATAGGATCTTGATTAGGATCTTATAGGATCTTGAATAGGATTGTATAGGATCTTGAATAGGATTGTATAGGATCTTGAATAGGATCCTATAGGATCTTGAATAGTATTCTTTAGGATCTGGAATAGGATTCTATAGGATCTCGTATAGGATCCTATTCAAGATCTTGTTAAACTTCTCCAAGATCATACAAAGGATCCTATAATATTCTAGATTTTGAGACATATATTAGAATGCCAAATTCTTTTAAAACTTGTTTATTTCTAAACATATTAAAAACAACCATATTCAATATCCTATTGACTATTTTCAGTTAACAAAAAATGAAATGGTACTTTTGTAAAGTGTTTGTACTCATAAATACTTCCCATCGTAATATCAAGAAAAACATTTAACCATGGATTTATCACAAATGTAAGATTGTTGTAGGAAATTTAGTTTCAGATAAATCAAAAATCGTACAATGTTGGTGCTAGTCTCCCTTAAATAGCAGATAGCAGAACTAAATAAAACAAGTAAATCTCAACAATTGAAACAGAAACATGACAAATTTACTCAATATTTTCTTTGACATTATGAACGCACACATTAATTTTTCTGAATTTTTTCTAATTTTTTTCTGATTAAGGCCGATACAAATGTCTGACCATCCTTTGTCCAGGACCTTTTCTCCGTACTTTGCTTTGATACACCCTGCAATATCAAAAATATAAACTCATTCAATAAATCATTTTAATAATTCTCATATCTATTAGTACTTTGTGCAAAAATAGCAACACAACTAGGGATTGTAGGGACTTTAAAAACACCTTAACACTATTACTGCAAACCAGTATCTTGCAGTTTCCACGAGGCATGACACAAAGACAAAGAAATTCCTTTTAAGCACTGTGTTTATTTCTGCAAATTCTTAGTATAAGTCAGGTTTTCACTAGCGATGCAAGAGCAAGAACAAGCACAAGCAGTGAAAATGAGATGTGAATAAGTGCAAGCAAAAAAGGTTTTTAATAGTACAACCAAACGCAAGAACAAGTGCAAGAAAAAGGAAAATGTCTGGTACCTTGCACGTGCTATTTCCTCGCCCTTCCCTGGGGGTTGGGGGCCAGGGTTTCAATTGACTAATGCATAAATAAATTTATTAGGTGCTAAATAGTTAAGAATCGTGTCACATTTATGTGATATGTGCACTTTATTATTTTATGTAATGTAGTGCTTCTATTTTATGATAAATGAAACATTGAAACCTGTTAATCGTATAATGGAAAACTTATTATTTCATTGATTGAATGAAAGGGAATGGTGATTAATTCATCATCGTATAAATAGTTGAACACTTACTCTTTAATAAGTTGATCTTGCTCTGGTCAAGAGCTGTTTTTCTTGTGGCCCCTTCCTTAGGTTCCACACATCTAAGACACATTTCTTCATCAGTAAACAGTACTGACAACAAACTAGTTGTGTAAAGTTTAGGTTTTTTTGCTTTGGCTGATACATCTGCTAGAAGGTTTGTACCATTCCAAATCTAAATAAAACAATAAATAAATATTCTTACATTTAGGAATTTGTTGAACTAATAAAATAGCTTCACAAATTAACAAAATAAGGAGAAGTGGTAAATAGTAAATGACATCTGCAAACTATAGGACAGGAAATATGAGAGATAACTAAAGCACTCTTTAAAAAATATTATGATTAAGCTGTTTATGTCAGCTAGTTATTCTTTTATTTTTGAATGASCATGTTCAAAAACGTTTAAACTTCCATTTCACATGCACAAAACTTCTCACTGCTAAAAAACCTTAAATGTTATTCCCATCCTGCACTGTAACACAGTAGCAATACTTACTAAGTCATTTTCATTCTGAACTGGTTCTGTCTTTTCCTGCATATAACTTTCGTTAAATTACAGAACATATCAGTAAGAAATACATACTTACGTTATCACTATCAAGAATTATAGTTTCTCCAGTCGAGGTTGTACTACTTCTGGAAATATTTGAAGAATATTTGACGAATTCGAAGTACTTTTGGACTGTCACCAGATGAAGTCACTTCTGACGTTGCTGTTGCCTGAAAGGAATGAATAAACAGCGGATTTTCAAAAATGAAAATCTAAAATTAACAGAAAAATAGCTCTGAGAAACAAAAAGGGTGTTTAAAAGATATATTCGTAAGTAAATTCCCGTTTAAACTCCATGAACTTGTACCACAGTAAACCAAAATCACCAACGGTTGAATCTCTGGCGCCKAAACGTATGCGCATGCGTTATGCCAGCAACCGCTGAATACCTGTGTGAAGGCTCGATCTCGAATTACATGGAATGCACTCACCGATGTTTCTCCCGATGTTTTTCTTCTTGAAACAGACTCCTAAAAAAAATATTGTAATAAATATTGTCTTTCCATTATCTTCGTATAAAGATACAAGATCTTCGCCATCCAGAGATTCGGCCACCATAAAAAAAGACATGCATTCAGAGGATGTGGACTGATCTAAGGACGTCCGTCTACYGACACTAAATAATCTATTATTGTATATAAGATTTTTTTAAATACTTACCTAAAATTCTTTTTTATTGCATCGAGGTGAAATTCAAGCTTTTCAAGCCAAGATTTAGAGCGTTTGAAAAAGTGGGATCGAACTCCTTGATCGTCAGAGCGAGAAGGTCGTAAAGACTTCAATTTGCGTTGCCTTCACTCGAAACGCATTATTTATTCTCAATTCAATATACATTTATATACGATGTACTTTAACATAAACTGTACCTTTGCTACATATCTACGATACCTATCCATATTATACTCATATAAGTCTCGTACGCTCAACTATTTTAATTGCCCACTGCCTTGATTTTTTTTTTTAATTTTTATTTATCTAGTATCCTGCTCATTACTTATTAGGATCTTGTTCAAGATCCTACCCAGGATCCTACTCAGGATCTTAATTCCTACCCAGGACCCTACTTAGGATCCTGCTTATTACTCATTAGGATCCTGTTCAAGATCCTACCCAGGATCCTACTCAGGATCTNGGATCCTACTCAGGATCTTAATTCCTACCCAGGATCCTACTTAGGATCCTGCTCATTACTTATTAGGATCCTGTTCAAGATCCTACCCAGGATCCGACTCAGGATCTCAATACCTGTCCAGGATCCTACTTAGGATCCTGCTTCCTATCCAGGATCTTACTTTGGATCTTGATACTCTATAGGATCCTATTTCTATTCAGGATCTTATTCAGGATCTTATTTAGGATCCTAATCCTAAATAGGATCCTATATAAGATCTTATTCCTAAACAGAATCCTATAGGATCCTACAGGATCCTACAGGATCCTACAGGCTCCTACAGGATCCTACAGGATCCTGTAGGATCTTGGTCAGGTTTTGCACCAGGGCATATGAAACACAGTCTTTATGATTACAGTTTGTTTCTTCCAGACAAAGATATTATCAGGCTGACACTGTTAGATGTTATCACTATATGTTGCTATGCGACAGCACGTTTATATTTGACAACAAAAGTGCCGGCAGTCTTCTCAGCTGTGTAAACCCATGGATTTTTGTCCGATTTGTAGCAATTCTATTGTTCAGATTCCTACTTTTGATTGGCTAATTTGTAGAAAATTTGTCGAGGTGGCTTTGGTTGGAATAGTCGCACTGTAAGTGGACACCTCACCACAAACACTGGTGCCATTATTTAATTTTCATCTAGGTTATTATACCTAGCTATCATATTTATTTATTTCTCAAACTATTCTTCATATTCTTTCATATGATTTCTACATAATACTTAAAGGTTGACGATTCAGACTTGACAGGATTTCAAAGTCAGCACAAATTAGTTCCCGTCTGAGATGAAACCTAAGGACTGGAACTAATTGCAAGGGATTTGAAATCCTGTCAAGTCTGAATTTGGAGGCCTTTTAGTGACTTCAAAAAATCATTAATTATTTCAGAGAAATCTTTGAATTAAAAGTAATTGAAGCATTGAAAATTAACTTAAAGCCGGGGAGGTTTTTGAATTCAGTAGGGATCGGAAGAGCTGGGGACAAAGAAATGAAATATGTACATGTCCCAGCCCATTGTTTACTCTCCTGCACAATAACTAACGGTTTCTTTTCGATATCAAACATGCCAGAAATGTTTGGAGGCTTTATCACTATTGTGGTGGGACTGTGAATCCCACATGAATTGTGGATAATGTTTGGAATAAGAGGGTAAGTGAAAAAACTATTTCATTTCGGAGTGGCTTCCTGGATTTTGAATAGGCTCTGGAAAGTTTCAATTACTTATCATCTTTGCCAATCAATCCAGGAAAGATGTCAGATGCACAGATGCACAGTAAAGTTCAAACCTAGTCCTTGTTTTTTTTTCATCAAATAAGTTATAATTTTTTTTGCCATCAATTAATATTTATACACATTGAGCAACAGTCATGTTTTTGTAAGTATTTGGTTGCTACTTGATTTTTCACTAGTCTGCATTGCAATGGATCATGGGAAATTCCAAAAAAATTTACAGGGAATATGGTTGACCTCATATCTTTATATATTTACTGGATTGACTGTGGCAGCCCAGTCATAACATGCCTTTGTTTTTTTGTCTTCTCCAGTCCAAGAAAAGTGCAACTTGCACAAGAGTGCACATACAATTATACAATATGGATTTGAATGACATGTTCATAGATTCATGGCTCATGGCCTCATACGCTGACTTAGCAGCTAAGGCTGTAGCTCTGGGCTCTCCAATAGTTAGAAATAATATAATTGAGCAGCAAAAGGGTATTTCTAGGATTGTAATTCAGATATTTATTCGTATTTAATACAGCTACTCAGTATTCTGGCTTCAATCGTGTGGGCTAGTAGAGCCTAAAGAAAAACAAGGCTTTCAGTCTTTTTAGTTAATAAGATATTATTTTAAAGTAATAAAGCTGGTAACTTTGGCTGTAAAATTCATTTCGCTGAGTTTTGAATCCTTTTTCTAACCAATTAAGTTTCAATTGGCTTTACTGGTTTGGATATTTAAAAAAACACTTAATTTCAAGAACATAATCAATAATGGCGGGATCAAGAACTTCACAAAGTTTAGCGAAAAAAAAAATAGCCATTTTAACACGTTTCTAAACCAATAAAACTGCTGTTGTTTCTTAGAAAAAATGTTTCTTCACTTGAATTTCATTCTGCATTTGCATAAAACATTGACAGTATCAATCCAAACTCCAAATATGGTTTTGCTAGGGCTTGCAGAATGTTTAGGGTCAGAAAAACTTCAAAAATGCCCAGGAATCAAAGGGTTATATTATTATTCACCGACCCTTCTATCATTTAAAATGTTTGCAGGCAACCCTTACGCCATTAGAAAGGTTGAGCATGACGTTTACCTAGAGAAATCGCGAACCGCTAACTGCAGTTTGAAGTCAGCGGTTTGCGGTTCGAAGTATAGATTTTTAGAGAGGTAATTAGTAAATCGTAATTTACATACGACATGGAGGGCGCCATGTTTGATTTTCATTCATGATTATGCCTTCAATTAAATTTACTGTATCTCTTCAAAAATAAAAAAAGTAACAAAAAAATGCAACCCTCAATCCCTTATGTATTAAATCACTTTACAAATAACACCTTACATCAGTTCTCCTACTACAAAAGATAAAAAATCCTGAGGGAAAACACTTACTGCAGATTGAGTGTCTTGCCGTGAAAACTTGAAACGCAAACGACAAACGTGAAGGCAGGAGCGTAGTCACATGACATCTTCAGGTTAGCGGTTCATGGTATCTTCCAAAAAACGTCATGCTAAACCTCTCTATTGACTCACCATGGCCCCAACCCTTACACCATTGACTCGCCATCGCCCCAACCCTTACACCATTGACTCACCATTGCCCCAACCCTTACACCATTGACTCCCCATGGCCCCAACCCTTATACCATTGACTCACCATGGCCCCAACCCTTACACCTTTGACTCACCATGGCCCCAACCCTTACACCATTGACTCCCCATGGCCCCAACCCTTACACCATTGACTCCCCATGGCCCCAACCCTTACACCATTGACTCCCCATGGCCCCAACCCTTACACCATTGACTCACCATTGCCCCAACCCTTACACCATTGACTCCCCATGGCCCCAACCTTTCCACCATTGACTCACCATGGCCCCACCCCTTACGCCATTGACTTGTCATAGCCCCAACCCTTCCACCATTGACTCATCATGGCCCCAACCATTACACCATTGACTCACCATGGTCCCAACCCTTCCACCATTGACTCACCATGGCACCAACCCTTCCACAGTTACATCACCATACCCCGGGCCATTTCAAAAATGAATTCTCTTTATATGGATTCAATGCTTTATATTTGCAGGTTTGCCAGGATAGATTCCCTGGCGTGGTTGAAGAGGTAACTATTACATTAATTGTAGACTACTTTAACATTAACAATTAACAAACTAAAAAAAAATATAATAACTGATGATGTAGTGTCTAAAACACGATCTACGGGATTTTTGTTCGAACCTTCGAATTGAGCCCACGATGAGCGTGCGCTCAAAAACCGCTGAAAAATCTACAAGATTTTATTGAAGAACCATATGCGTTTTGAGCTTCAACAGGGCAAAACCCTCAAATTTTGCACTGGA